CGTCCACCCATTTAAGCAATAAAAAAATGCCTTAGAGATCAAAGAAAATGTGCTTAACGAGTCCTCATTTGAAGTTAAATCAAACAGTAGGTTGTATTAACGAAAGCATGTCTCTGTCGACTCCGAAATTCGTGCTAGTCTTGATATTTGTGTCATAGAATGGATACGGAGTTCTGCTTGACTCGGGGCAGACTAGTAAGGATTTTATGTTAGTCGCTCGTATTAGGAATATTGCGTCCGGTTCCGCGGTGCAATGCATAAAATTGGAGAGAGTTTTGAAATATTTTTATATTCTTTTATATTTGTATGGATATGGAGGAGAATAACCTCACCCATAAGGATGCCGAAGACCAGGCAAAGTAGGAAGAAGAAGATTTTTCTTCTTCTTTCAATTCCGATGCTTAATTTGGAAATTAGAAATCATGTAAATAGTGTTAATTGGCTTTTTGAGTGCTTGTCAGATGGCCGACGAACACTGATAATGTTAAAAGTACTACGAGTAATAATCACTTTCGTCAGTTGCTGTATGATTTAATTTTTGTTTTTTCATTTTGTTTGCTATTCAAATACGTATGAAATAGTTGCAGCAAAATCCATCAGACTTCTTTTCTGAACAAATAACTACTCTTTAAACCCATGATATAATCACAAAAATATTATAACCTCACCTTATAAAAAAATGTACTTTTGTTATCCTTTTGAATTATTAAACATGACATATTAAATTATGTCGTAAACAACCTATTCTGTAGTATAGGAGTATCATTAGTTATGGTTAAAGTATCAAGTTTGATTTCGTTATGAATATTGTTTTTAAAATGAATTAGAATGTTCGTAACAAAGTAACAAAACAGGTACGTGCATTTGTGGCTCTACGTTTGATTTGTCATCCTCTCTTTATTTCATCAAGCCCATATTAATTGATTTCCAAATAACTGAAAATATTATCAATTGAATTACATACTTATTTAATGGTCGTATTATAACTATTTTATAACTTTAACGGGTTCACGAGTAAATTGGATCACTTGAATTAGTTTATCAGGAAATTTCAGACTAGCTACTAGGAAATATCAGGTGCTACAGGAAAACGTAGTGTTTTGAACCTTAAGGCATCTAAATTTGAAAGTAAATTTATTAATTCTAATGTGTTAGCATTGCTTACGGTCTTCAACGGATGCCTAGATTTCTTTCTCACAGCATTGACCAAATCATCCGTCCATATCAACAATTCAGTCTTTATTCCTACGGATTTATAATTAATATTAAATTTCATTACAAAGCTACCAAACGCTTGTGTTTTGTACCACACAGTAGACCGTGCGTTTTATATCCACGATGTGAGTCGGCCATACATCGGGCTCACAATAAAAATAAGGTTACGGACACATTGAGTCTCCTAAAGCCTATACTAGATATATTACCGGCCTATATGGGAGGGTTGTCGCGCGATGATATCTGCTGACCCTTTTTTTGTATTGTCAACCTTAATTTTAGATCGATTCAGTAATTTTTAGATTCGCACGTAATGTTAACTTGTAGGCGAATTTGCAATATTTGCAATTTTAGTTTTTTTTTCATTGTTCTTGTAGGCAGACGAGCATATGGCCCACCTGATTGTGACTGCTTACCGTCGCCCACGGACTTCAGCAATGCCAGGGGCAGAGCCAAGCCGCTGACCACCTTAGCTAAAAAAATACAGAAATCTATTAAGGAATTTGAACGTATTCTTTTGAATCAAACATCTGACTTTTGGTTCGTGATGCCGAGATATTATTTTCACACGATATTTAAGTTATAATGGATTCGGGTTTACTTTTTAATATCGTTTCATATCTATAATATGACTACAGTATGTTAGTGTGGCGTAATGAAACCTCGTTCGTCGAGCTCAAGATTAAATTCTAGTTTCTATTTCGTGGCGATATGGTTTCTCGAACGATCGATACAAAATATCTCAGCCGCCGAACGAACCCTTACTCTCAGCTGTTCACATTTCATCATTTAGTATAATCATTCGCTTTGTTTGACAATGCCTCTGGATATAATCGGAACGGTGCTACTCGATTGATTATTTGTCGACTCGATCGAGTTATTTTCATCCTATTTTCTTAACAGACGAATCTAGATCTAAATGTTAATGTATTCGCTCTGATGGTGAGTGAAAATCAAGAAGGCAATAGTGTCTGCATTTTTTATTTATTGCTTAGTTGGGTGGACGAGCTTACAGCCCACCTGATGTTAGGTGGTTACTGGAACCCATAGACATCCACAACGTAAATGCGCCACCCACCTTGAGTTATAAGTTCTAAGTTCTCAAGTATAGTTACACGGCTGCCCCACCATTCAAACCGAAACGCATTTACTGCTTCTCCGCAGAAATAGGCGGGGTGGTGGTACCTACCCGCGCGGACTCTCTATATACTTATACTATATATACTTCAGATACTTAAATTTCAACTATTTACATTTATAAGCATCTTGGTTTTTTTCTTCTGTTTAATTAAGGAACTTCAAGGGGACTATCAGTCTCTAGAAGATGAGAAAAAAAAAACCAAAAATATATCGACGAATCAAAACATTTCGGAATCTACGTATGATACATAAAGTGTGACAAGTTAGGTGCGCGTGACGACGCGGTTCGCTGCTTTTATGAACCATAGAAGTAACAAAATAACGTAACAATAACAACGGAAAATAGAAAAATCTGATTACGTACCAACTTTTTTTGTATTTAGTTATAGTAGTTTAATTACAGTGACTGATGGGCATGTCAAATTTGAAAATCGTCGAATAAAAAATAAAAATATTAATTTTTTTTTTTTTCACGGACGCCATATTGAAATAATGTTTAAATACATCAAGCCGTTTTGGTAGTAGAAATATAATTAGGCGGACACTCGAAAAAATATATAGACCTTCTGAGACAATTCTGGCCCCAAGACTTAGCATCGCAATATTACTTGCATTTTCATCTCATTCGTCGCCTAGAAAATAAACCACAGAAAATAAACTATAATAAAGTTATTGTGTTAGTTAAATGCTTATACTATCTTTTATAACCGCAGCTTTTCTGTCCAATCACGACAGAGTGAGTTTCAGTTGAGTTATTTTATTGGCTTTGTAGACAGACGAGTATACAGCCCATCTGACGGTAAGTCGCCGTCGCTCATGGACATTAACAATAACAAGGACGCAGCCAAAGTGCTCTCTAACTCAGATTGTGTACAGTACTGTAAAATTTGGTAGTATGCTCCGTATTTTGTATATTTTAAAAGCAAAAACAATTACGTCACATTTCCAGAGAATCTATTGAAGCAGACTTTTAATACTGCGCCCAGAGTCTGTTCAAAGAGTGTGATATTATTGAGAGAAAGACATTCTGGGTTCATATTGTGTGAACAACGTTTGAACAAAGCATCTGTTTGCATTGTATTGAGAGATCAGAAGCCACAGTGTGACCACATTGACATTGACAGTGTGACCACGTTCTCAAGTATTAATGGATAGTGTTATCTATTTTTTTTTATCTTACTTGAAAGATTTTACGAGGGAAACCAATCTGAGTGTACACTAACTAAATCAATCTTAAGAGGTGTTCTCCACGACTTTCTCTGTCCACTAAATATCTATATCGGTATTTTACTGTGCTATGTTGGAGAAGCAAAGCAATAATGTAATCACGAATTACGTAAAAAGTTTTTATTGTACTGCCTTCAGCTACTTAAATTTCAACTATTTACATTTACTAGTGGTAGTCGAAATTCGAATTTAATTAATTGAAATTATAAGTTTGTACACTATTATGATTCTATTGTCAAAGACTACTTCAATACTTCTTTCTTCAATACAAATACTTCTTTCACAGATTTCACCGAGACTACACTTTAGATAAATGTTAATAAATCCAAACATTAATTAATCTATTCTCAATTTGACCACAGACAGCCATAAGAACAGTTTGACAATAAACAAATAGTATGTGACTAGACACACACACGCGTGTCAAGTACATGGTAATGTGTTTAATGTTTTTTTTTATTGATTTAATGTATTTTTTTATGCATAATTTAAAAAACTATTAACATTCTGCACTCCTTCTCTATATTCTCTATAAATGTGGGAAATTTCATACTCCTCCGTCCGCGCAATTTTCGTAACTATAACTTATAGGGGTACAAAGTTTTTGCTTCACGTATTAATATATAGATAAGCATCAAGTATTTTTTCTTCTGTTTATAAATTCAATTAAGGCAGTGGCTTTATTAGGCATTGGTTTGGCTCTGCCCCTGGCATTGCTGACGTCCATGAGCGACAGTAACCACTCACCGTCAGATGTACCGTACGCTCGTCTCCATACAATGGCGATAAAAAAATATAAGATTTTAATTATTCAGTTGTCAGTTCTATATCTTCATGGTCTATATCACTCTAGTCTGGATGGCGCAGCGGATGAGTTTCTTCCCCCTCCCATCAAATAATTAAAAAAGATGCGTGGTGTCGTGGGACACCGGATTGGAACGAAGTTCATTATTATAAAAATATTAATTTTAGGTTCTATTCGAAGTATAAAGAAAATAATTATTCGGGTATACCTACATTTTTTATTATGATTTTTTTATTGATAAAAATAAAATCATAACTACTTTACAAAGTTATCAACTTTATTTTATTGCCGTTGTATGCAGACGAGCATACAACCCATCTGATGGTAAGTGGTCACCGTCGCTCATGGACGTCAGCAATGCCAGGGGCAGAGCCAAGCCGCTACCTACCATTAACCATTAACTACAATGCCTTCGTAGACAAGACCATAATTTTTATAACAATAAGCAACATTTCATCATTGAATCAATTAACCAATCAATCTATCTTCAATAATTATAATTATTACCTTCATTGATTTACTTATCTTGTAATTAGTGTAAATGTAAAGTTGTAAATCTTAGTAATAAGCAACATTATAAGTGAAGTAACATAAATATGCCATTAATTTCCAGGCCCCGAAGACGATCCGGCTCCAGCATCGTGGTGCTGGGCGCTGAGGAGGAGAAACGCCCGCCCCCGGATGACGACAAAGAGATGCTCTCGCTTTCTTCTGATACCGGTTAGTAAAGTTTCATTAAAACACTTCACCAGATGTTAGCAGTTACAAGTGCACTGAGTCCCTTCTAAGAAGGATCGTTTTTAACTTTCACTAGAAGTGGCGACCTCAAGACTCTAGGTGCGCAGTGGCTAGAATCGCCTGATAGTAGTAGATAGAGTAGACCCGCCATTTAAAAAAAAAACTAGGGATTATATCTCGTGCTTACTTTGCACTTGTAGATGGTAATGTGAGGTGTGAACGTAAAAAGACTTGGAGGGATTGTGTGAAATAGAGGATATGCCACAGAAGGGTCTGTGTGCAGAGATGACGTATGATAGACCTGAATGGAAATTGAGGAGAATCCAAGCCGACTTCACGTAGTGGTATAAAGGCAAGAAGAACAAGAATATCTCGGATTTGTCTCATACAATCTACGATAAGAATATCTTCGCGGTTTTGGAAGATTGAGAATGTTTAAATTCATTCGTCAAATATTTATACTTCACCATAATGAGAATAAGATTGACTTAGGTGTCGGACCTATTAACGTATAGCATAGGCCGAATGCTGCCTGACTTAGTACTGCTGAGATACATAGTAATGATGCTATGCGGAGGCCTTATAGTTGAAAATCGCGTATCACATTTCATGGTGCCTCTGACGTGGTTCTAATTTATATTATATATTATAACTTGCTGACTCGGCAGACTTTGTAGTGCCTCAATCGATAAATAAAAGACCTAAACTTTTGTATAAAATAAACTTAAAACAAATAAAAGGAATCCGTCCGACGGGGGACACATCAAAGGGAAAACAAAATTGTTAGTTTTATTTAATTCCGAGCATTTTCATATTTATCTACCTTTTAAACCTTCTCTGGACTTCCACAAATAATTTAAGACCAAAATTAGCCAAATCTGTCCAGCCCTTCTTGTTGTTTTAACGAGACTAACGAACAGCAATTCATTTTTATATACATAGATAATAAATCAAAGTAACGAAATTGATTTTAGAAATGGACTGATTTAAATCCTAAAACATTATTAGCTTGTTATTTTAGTTCGTCAAAAACCATATTTGACATCACTGTGATGTATGAAACATTCCTTATATTCTATGTTAACCTACTTTCAAATAAAGCGGAGAATAATATAATTCGAAAAAAAAAAGTTACCGGCGACCGTGACAGGACGCTATAGAATTAGTTATTTGTGAAGCTATAGAATTAGGCGTTTTTTGCAAGCCAATTTGAAACAGCGACCTCTGGTAATTAGCCTCGAATTAATTTTATACAATCTCATATAGTAGTTGCAAGTAATTATATACATATATAGTTACAATACTCTTATACATATTATTATTGATTGGTGTTTGTTAACCATTCACGCAAAAACTACTTGACAGGTTTTGATGAAACTACCATGAAATGCGTTGCAACAAAATATTCTACTTCCCTCTGTCCACTGAGTTTTTCGCCGGATCTTCTCAGTGGGTCGCGTTTCTGATCCAGTGGTAGATTCTGCGAAGCACTGTTCTTGCTAGGCCCAGTGTTAGCAACACTCCCGGTTTGAGCCCCGTGAGCTTACCTACACGTCAAGGGGAAGCTGAAATAGCCTCTCAAGGTTATCAGCATAGGTAGGAAAAAAAACCCTGAATCTTATTATAAAAGAAGACCTGAGATTCTATTAATTACAAATATTATTTGTTTTGTTTGAATTTATGAAATCATATTTTTATTACATATTTTTATTACGTCTAATTGAAATACAAGTTATCGTGACCTTACACTTTGTCAGACAATGAAACAAAAAATAAGGAAAATAAATGTAATTAATATGTTTTTTGTTTAGATGTATTCAGTGTACTCCTAAGTCACTGGTTGTTTGTTGAATGAAATGCGTCATTTTGAAATCGCTTTACTGCTACCAAGGATACATTTTAAGGCAGAAGCGCGAGTAGGAGTTCCGCAAGGTTGGAATGAATTAACCGCATCTTTCAAGATAGTAGTATCTACCCGTATGAATCCTCAACGCTGAATCACCGGGGAAAATAGGCTATGATCATCAAAATCCATTAAAGTGATTGAAAAGTCTTGAACTGTACTGAATATTTTGCCGTAGGCAGCGATATGACTGCCTTTGACATTGACTATGACAGACCGATGTACAAGGAGGTCAACCTGATGCATATATACTTTTTTAAGTTAAGGACATCCTCTTACACTCCACACAATCAGACTAAGCGACTTCGAAATATGTGAATGGACAAATATACATAATTGCAGAACAGCTTATCTGATAACGTATTTTATCGAAACATTCTAACAATATACAGTGCAAGGACGTACAGTATTCAAAACTCGATTGGCTGATACTATTTAACAGGCAAATATGAGTTATAAAGAGAGGCATTAATCACTGATTTTTTTTTGTTTCAATTTTTCCATTGCGAATTATGTATTTAATGTCAATGAGTAATGGTGGCGCATTTACGTTGTAGATGTCCATGGGCTCCAGTAACCACTTAACACCAGGCTGTGAGCTCGTCCACACACCTAAGCAATAAAAAAAAAAGATACCCACCCACCCACCTTGAGATATAAGTTCTAAGGTCTCAGTATAGTTACAACGGCTGCCCCAGCCTTCGAAACGAAACACATTACTGCTTCACAGCAGAAATAGGCAGGGTAGTGGTGCCTACCCGTGCAGACTGGCAAGAGGTCCTACCACCAGTAAATAATATAATATATTACAATTTACAAATTTATTTTTTTATTTATTTTTCTTCATTCCAGGTCCCCACCGCGAGATGGCGGTGGATGTGCCGGACAGTTTCATCGCTCGGAACAAAACTCCCCCCCGGTACCCGCCGCCGCGGCCCCCCCAGGTACGTCTCCGTCCGTGCCGGGACGAGGATCCCCTCCTCTCCTCCGGCGGCTCCGGCACCAGTTTCGGCAGTAAACAAAGCACAGTTCAGACCCTCGATCTCTCAGGGCCCAGCTCCGATAACTCGGGTTCGTTCAAGAACGCTATCGAGTTATTGTCCCTGCCCCAGAGTTCCGAAGGTTCGGGGGCCAGTTTTGGAAGCAAAAAAAGCAAGGGCTCCGCAGAGACAGCCAAATGCGGCGACTCTGACAGATCTGATGCGAGCGAACAAAAAATACAACTCCTCATATCGAGCGAGGACGATTCGTTGCTCGATTGCAGAGAAGGGGTCTCGTACTCCGCTAGAACTGACACGGTACTGATTAGAGAGGCGCTGTACGCGTCTTACAAGCTGCCTCCAGGGTTCGATACGACGCCGGTACTGCTCGGGAGGGAGGTGGCCGTCGACGTACCAGATACCTTCGTGCAAATCGTGAAAACAACCCCAAAATATCCAGGAACCGTGGACAGAAAGAGCGTCGCTTTTCAGGTAACGGGCACAACGTGCACCGCATGGGATTCATTCTGGTCACCCGTCCGGGTCAGGGGTCATAAAAATTCAGTTCATCTACTAATATAGCGGGAACTTTTACTAACAATTTAATTGCATGACTGTGGTGGAAGGGCGATTTGGATTATAACAAAACGCTTTGAAGTTCATATAGGATATCAGCTAACTTCTTCGTCTTTGGCAAAAGCAAATTAATATTCTTTGTATCTTTGTGAATTTTGTTAGGTTTTTCAAGTGGTAATACTTAAATTAAACAAATTAAATTGCACGTAGTAATAGCACGTAGTTGGTTGTGTAATATTCACAGTCCGATAAAATATAATGAGTAATAAAAGCCATATAATGTAATTCAGGAAATACCATTTTATGTATTAATCATTGTAATTAAATAGAAAGCGCCGGTTGTCTGCTGAGAGAAAACTTTGGTGGACCAATACATACATATGTATATAGTTAGTAATACCGCAATAACTATCGAGAAAGTATTTTTATTTTATGACTTTACAGCGCCATCTAGTTATATCTTTCAGAACTTAAAAAATGTTTACCATATTATTTAGATATACACTTTAAATCCTATTCTTCAGTCCATAACGTCCACTGCTGGAGACAGGCTTCCCCCAAGCCTCGCCCCAACGACCGGCTTAAATATCTTGTTTTAAATAATACCTTTATTGAGAAATCATGCACTAAAGTCATTTCGTGGCTGAAATAAGCTACACCATACTTCCATCTACATACATCCGATCGATTACGTCATGTCGTTTTTACCATTGCTCTTCCTGCCATTGAAGACGAGTTCATCCAAACTACCTGGCACCGCTGCTATTCGTCCGCTTTCAGAAATATTTTGTGCCAAGAACCATTCCTTTTTGGAATGAACTCCCCTCCATGAAATTCTGTGATCAGAGGTCCTCGATGCAAAAGCTTGCAAGATTAGGTGTAACAATGCACCTAATCAAGTTCTCAAATCTATCGCAGAAATCGTTGATTGTTTTATTAGACTAAATGACTTTCTGATCCTTCTGATTCAGGAAAGAAGCGCTTTAGGGATGCATCCAATCGCTCATCTTTTTGTACCGTTATCGACATAAGATTCTACAAGCCTGCAACATCCTGAACCGACTAATTTGCACTGGTGGTGTTAAGACCCTTGAGGTTCGTCTTTTCTTGAATTCTTTGTGTTCGGTATTCAGTATCAGATACAATGATGACACGAAATTGCTAGCAACTGGCGAATTAGAAATCTAGGACCTGATTCGACCACTTGGTCGACCATCACAAGAACTTCGTTTATCCGATTGCTTTGAATCTTTCTACAGTTTTCGGTTTCGCTTCAGTGAATATTTTGGTAAATTAATATTTAAGCGCCTGTGATTTTGAAGACAATAAAAAAAGTTTTTATCAAGCGGGTAGTTTCAAGAAAAAAAGCGTACTATCAACAAAAGACATTTTTGACTTTTATTGTATTGTAAATATACTGCTTCGTTTTATACATATGATGGATGTTAAGGAGTGGCAAAGCCATTACGTTATAGCACTCTTTAAAATAAACAAAGACATAAGAATTTAATTAAATGAAACAAGCCACTCGGCTAGTGAAAAAATAAATTAATGCACATAACATTTCGCATTTCGCGATGCGTGACCAGGTTTTCGCTAGTTTAAAATAAGGATAGTGACAAAAATCATACGCAACAATATAATCAACAATTCATTAATAACATCACGAAACATTTGCTTCTGCACCTAAAACTTTTCTGACTACGGTTCCTTAGATTTGTGGATTTTATTGCTGACGGATGCTATGAACTGAGAGGATTATACAGAGAGTCTGGTGGTTGACTTTGGCTGTTTCTGTAAAGGGTTTGATATCGCATTTGATTAATTGTGTAGTTTTAAAATTGCTTGTCTCGGGTCGTAGATTGAGATACTTTTATTTGTGTTACGTAGTTGGTATTTAAAAATACCTGAATTTTTTTTTTATAAATGAAAGTGTTTTATAAAAAATGCATGTCCTTATGTATTCATCAATGGTGTGTATCGTGTTAACTAAGAAATTTCACAGTAGAGGAAATTTTACCTTTGAAGATATTTTTTCGTAAAGAATGAAAATCAATGCAGTTTAAAAATTGAAACGCTAAACATTCATAGGAATTCAATTTTCAAATCCTCACTGATAGTAGTTAGTGCCTCTTCAAATTCACCTACCCGCCTTTGAATTAAAAAAAAAAACAAATATTCTAATTTGTTCTAATTCAGATTTCGATTTCATGTTCAGACATTAAGCGATTATTATTGTAGTCTAAGATCTTGAGACATTAGGTTGAGGTATAATAATAGTCTCACCGTAAGACCTGAATGAGTAACTCCCGTGGATAAAATAGGCTAAATTCTGGAAAGTTCTCGCGGGCTTATAGCATTCTTTGCAACCAGTCCTCAAAAAAAGAATTAAGGTGGAGGATAGGAGAAGGTTGATAGATGACGAGGAAGTAGTAATTAGTTCGAACTGGTCGGGACTTTCCGACCGTGCTTTCTGATGAATAGCCGTACAGACTGTGATGTGTCTATGGATTTTATAGGTCCGCAATTGAAATGATGCTCGCGATTGTCCGGGGAATTTGGATAAACTATACACTCCAACTATTATTTATGTCCCTTGATGTATTATAATTATTATAGTTTAAGCAGGTATATTGCAAGTAGTGATATATGTTAATAATAATGATTTATGGTCATATGTATAAATATTGTTAAATAATATTGTATTATTTTATAAATGTTTCTAAAATATTTATTTTTTATAATGTGGGTAGTAATAAAATATTTGATTAGTTTAATGTAAGCTTTGGTAAAATATATTCTAGTTGATTTACTTACAAATCTTACTAATTCATTTATTATGTAATTAAATATGATAGTGGTAAAGCTTAAAATGTAAAAAAAAATTAATGTTCTTGGTTTGTTTATGGTACTCCAACGTACAGTATATAGCGCGCGAGTAGTTTAACTAAATTGATGAAGTGTACAATAGTAATTACGGTAATGTAATTGAAGTATTTAGTAAAAGATTTACCATCAGATATCTTCGGTTTGCTAATTATATGAAAAATTTCTACCCGCCTTTAATTAAAAATATACTATCCACTCTATGGTGTTAAATGTAGTGCAGGACTGATGATTAAACGTTTTCCAGCAGGTCAATGGCACAGCTAAGACTGCGGCTCCGGCCGTGCCCCCTCGTGAGGTAGCCAGGGACGCCCCTCCTCGACCTCCTGCCCATGATGTCTCTAAAGACCAAGTGGACTCCATAAAGAAGTATCAGGTAAGCGTTTTTTCAAGGCTTTTTTCGCGCGATTTTCCATGGATCTATCTAGATGAAAACTGATTTTGAACGTTGAAGATCTTGCATAAGTTGTGTTACGTGATCAAACTTACACAGTATCTTGAAAGTACCAACTGATATTTGTAACTTAACTGATATCGTTAAGTTTTTAAATTGGTAAGTATTTTGTATCGATAAGAGAAAAAAAACTACACATTAGGATATGTAACGTTATTTGTTTATGTGGTCTGAGGTATCGAAATTAATTTCGAAAAAGTGATCTATTGCGAAGAATCGTTTTGAAATCCCTGCTCTAATGAGGAATATTCTTCGCGTATATTGTATCCTATCTATCCTACCTATCGTATACAATACCGTCTTTACCATAAGGGCACACGGGGCCCGTGCCCAGGACCCCCATTCTCAGGGGGCCCCGAAAGACCGACAATTTCTCTCACACGTTTATTCTCAAAACATTTTTGTCGGGCACATTACACTTTTTTCACAAATCAGTAATCAGAAGGTATTTACTAGGCATATACTATGACTATGATAGAAGATTTTGCTCAACAGAAATCCCGAAAGAAACCGTTATCGAAATCGTAACCAAAAAACCAGCAGCATTCTAATATCATTAATGACATATTATATCATACTGTATTTGATTACCTATAATAAATGCTCTCAAACTCAGAAAAAAAATGTTATTATAATTCGCTTTTTTTACTTTCCAAAAGGGCCTCAAATTCTTGTGTGCCCAAGGGCCCCATCCTAGTTTAAGACGTCCCTGATCGTATACGTGATAGTATATTAGAAGACATCAGCGGTATATACCTGATGACCGGGCGTGATTTGTTCCCAGTTATTTATTTCTCTAACGTGGAAGTCGTTTTAGGGATAAGGCTTAATACAACCCTGAATATCAGTGGCCTACTGACGTGTAATAAATACGTCTGACATGGTACGTTTAGGTACGTATAATGAGTCAATGACTAGAGGCCCGGCGTACAGGAAGACGTAAACAATGTGTTCATCAAAGGATAACGCTTAGGTTCCGTACACGAGTTAATTTATAAAATACATTTTCAAACATTTGTGTGTGTGTGTGGTGTAAAGTCGAAAGGGGATCCGGATTTACTGGTGGTAGGACCTCTTGTGAGTCCGCGCGGGTGGGTACCACCACCCTGCCTATTTCTGCCGTGAAGCAGTAATGCATTTCGGTTTGAAGGGTGCGGCAGCCGTCGTTACTATACTTGAGACCTTAGAACTTGTATCTCAATGTGGGTGGCGCATTTACGTTGTGGATGTCTATGGGCTCCAGTAACCACTTAACATCAGGTGGGCTGTGAGATCGTCCACCCATGTAAGCAATAAAAAAAAAAAAAGATACGATCGCTTCACTTTTCAAATAAACTAATATCCGGGATAGAAAAAGTGGAGTATTTTAATTTGATTCATTTCGATATTTGAATATCGTATTCAGCATTGGATAGTTTATTAATATTATAAAACTAGCTGACCCCACAGACTTCTTTGTGCCTCAATTGATAAATAAAAGACCTAAACTTTTGTGTAAAATAAACTTAAAACAAACAAAAGGAGTTCGTCCGACGGGGGACACATCAAAGGGATAACAATATTGTTATTTTTATTTATAATCCGAACATTTTCATAGTTGTCTACCTTGTAAACCTTCTCTGGACCTCCACAAATAATTCAAGATCAAAATTAATCAAATCGGTCCAGCCGTTCTCGAGTTTTAGCGAGACTAACGAACAGCAATTCATTTTTATATATATAAATTGTGTGTGGGTGTGTAAATTTTTTATTGTAACTGTGTGTAAATTGTCTCCTCCACAATTAAATAGAAGCTCTTCGAAGCAATTACACTGCAACTTTATTTGTCTTCCTTAGACAGAGAGATAGAACATTAAATTACAGGCACAGTTGAAGGCAAAATGTAGTACTAAAAAATTTAACTAAAATACTAAAGTAATAATAAAACACATTTTTTTTTGTCTCTTTTTCCTGTGATGAATTGATCTAGAATAATAATATACTAGGTAATTATTTAACTTTTGGTGAGATCGAGCGGTTATGGGGGATACAATGTGTACCTGCTGTGGTCAGCGTGTTAGCTTTTCAGGGCTGTCACAATATGAGATAAAACTGTAGATTGGGGGGAACCGAGACCCTTTCCAAATCCAACACAAATTTTCAATGGTTTTTCTTAGGGTAACACCAATAAAATTGAGATTAAAATGGTTCTAGAGGCTTACATTTTGATATAATAATATGATGCGTTATTATACATAGTTCATTACAAAATATACACAAAAACTGAAAAAACTAGCTTGATCCGATTCACCTTAGCTTTGGGGTGAATCAGGATACGTATGGGGACATAACAGTTTTTCGAAAGCGCTGACACTATCTAGTTCTTAGGTAGTACCTTAGGTACTTTAGGTAATTCACTTTTTAATATCTTTAATGAGTTACAGATTTTTATGACTAAATTAAACTATTTCATACTCTTAAAAGTAATTTTCAGTTCAACAAAGTTAAATTTAACAACTCAACAAAAGTATTGTGACATCCCAGATTTGTCCCTATTCTAACTCTAGTGTCTATTCCCCCCAATCTACTGTATAAATGTTAGTTTTTAAAAGGTACTCTGATCTCTTTTTCTCCACCTTATCCCACTAGGTGGGGTCGGCACAGCTAATTTTTCTCTTCCATTCTCTTCTATCAGCCGTCATCTCAACACTCACTCCTCTCTCTCTCATATCGTCATTCACACACTCCATCCATGTCTTCTTCGGTCGACCTCTTCCCCCTCTACCTTGCACTACCATTTCCATACATCTCCTACTCCACCTCCTCTCTTTTTAAGGTACTCTGATAGTCGACAAAAATACACACGGGGCATTCTGTGAACCTATACGGGTAGATACCCACATATTTTGTATATTGCTGTCCGGAAACAATCATGCGTAGCCACTCGAAAGATCTGAAAGCCTATTTACCATATCAACAAGTTGATAATTTAAACAAATGTATTAAGCTGGACGGAATAATTCACATTGCACACCACAGTAAACTCATAAAAAAGTCTCATAAAAAAAAACTCAAAATAATATTTTGATAAGGGTTTTCAAGACTTTGGCACGTACACAGTGAAAGTCGATGTTTAAAAAAAACGATTTGAGAGGAACCGGCCGCATCTACAATAAAAAAATGGAAAGAATGCAATTATTACACACGTAAAAGTAACGTTGGATATATTACATAAAAACAACACGAAAACTGGTTTTAATAGTAACGCAACAACTTACGATCTGCTCTTTTGAAACAAAAATGTCTTTTACGTGGATTAATTAAATCAATAAGAGCGGATGTGGCATATTGGTTTTTACACCAGTGTGAGGAGTGATATTTACACGATAGTTGTAATATTTTATTTGGTTAATAATTTAGTGCACTAAAACGCTTCCCTGTTTTTATTGTTTAGTAATTTATTAAAGTTTGTTATGCTTATTTTTAATAAACTTTCTGAATTTACACGTTACTTCAAATCATAATACATACTATTTTTTTACATATTCTGTTTTTATATGTTTGCATGTTTTATACAAGCTGCTCTATGGAAAGGCATCTAAGGATATTTCCGCGAAAAATATCAAAAAATTGTTTCTAAAAATCTCTTTTGCTATGAAACATCTGGTTTTCGAATCCACTTTGCGATGTTTCTGGTATTCCATCCCGTATTATCCTTCTTTAAAGGGAGTTATAAAGGAATCTTCAGCAGCAAGCAGCAATTTCGCCGTTCCCCTTACATTGCTGATGTCCATGAGCGATGTCTATAGGCCATTATAAGATAACTCGCATACATCGAGTTCTCTAAAAGCCATTTTCGGTATACCGAGTTTTTTTTAAATGAATTTTCATAAAATATGGTAAAATGAAAATTGCACCACCCGAAGTTCTTAGATGAAAACGCGTTCTTTACATTTTAGACGAACATTCAGTTGAAGCATTTCAATTACTTACTGCCGAAACGAGATCAAAACGACTTCAATGACGCTAATTAATTCCGTTTTACGTATGAAAAACGGAAGGCCTTACAGTCTTTACATTTAATCTTTAAATACAGGCGTCCCCGCATTTGGAATTTCGCTTAATTAACAAACCCTCGACGAATATAGCACTGGTAGGTGGACAAACAAAAACAAATATTTATATTTGCAAACACGAAGTCTTTGTGCGTTTTCCGTCCGACTACGGACGGTTTTTAAATCTAATATCTAAGTAGGTTTTTAATATAAACATATTATGTTTTAAAATATATTTATATAAATAACTTAAACCACAAGCATTGTATACGTTATAATGAAGACGGAAACTCTTTTGCCGTGTGCGTGTCATGAAACAGTAGACCATCGGTTATATATTATAGCTTAACTCTTATCTTAAAAATAAATATTAACGCGAATCAGATTTTTGCCAGATTTAGTTTACTTGTGGATGCGATTGATAAACTCTATTAATGGTATCTAGTAATCCATTTTTAGTGGCATTAAAGTACCAGTAGAACTCCCAATTGCGCTAGAAATAAATCATTTGGAAGTTCTGAACAGTGTGTTTAGTGCGAGTTTGTTAAAGTTCTCGATAGCGTAAAAGCTAACTCAAATTTGTATGCAGCTAGAACAGTGCCACTAGCGGCAAACGTAGGCAAACGTTGAGAAACAAATTTGAGTTAACTTATACGTTATCGAGAATGTTAAAAACTCGCACTAAGCACACCGATAGAACAATACTTCAAGCCTACTTCGTAATCTCTGGCCCCAATTACCAGTTAATTGTACTTAAATTCGTGCCAGTGAGGACCATTACTTACAATAATTTAATATCTTGAATATGGTATGTCTTTAAACTTGTGTATCTTCGAAGGCAAAAAAAGTAATCTATTTTCCGTGTGATACAAAATGCTTAAGATGATC